TTTTGTTTTTAAAACATTAAAATCTTCAGATTATTTAAAAAAGAATAAAAAAAAAAACAAATCAATAAATGGACTCGAAATCGGATCTCCCGAGTGGCACTCTAGCGTTCTGTTCACCCGGCCATTGCGGCTGCTACAGCAGCGCGAGAAAAATGACATAAAAAACTGAGGGGGTGCCCCGTTTTCTAGGATGGAATTGTTTTCCATATACAAATTGGACCACTCTAATGTACATATATATGTATTTGCTGCGTTTTAGCATTCTTACCAGTGTTGCCGCGAATCATTTTTAGTGTAGCCAAATTCCTTTAAAAAAGGGCTTAAAGAGCTAAAAAAAGTCGTTGTGGCTAAAAATGGTAGCTAAAATTTTTTACTTACATATGTATATATATAATAAACTCTGGAAAAAGGCTAATATTTTATCCAAACCAAAAACCTTTTTGCATAAAAGAGGAGATATACGACACCAGCTTACTTTGCTGGCTCCATCAAGTGATTGTACCATCAGGCTCGAAGCATATAACTTACCAGCATGTTGGTACAATATTTATTTATTTACAAATGAGGTCCAGGAAATATCGAAATGATTAGAGACGAAATTTCATAATTGTTCTACCATTTTATTAAACATTGTTTTTTTTTTTTAATTCACAACCGCAATATCGTAAACTTAGTCTTCAACACACATGGCTTTGATTCAGATAGTGGAAAACATTTCCGATAAAAACCTTTTTACTTAGAAAAATGAGCTAATTTCATCACTCACGACACCAGCATGCTGGTACAATCATAAAATTTTCAAATAGTTTTTGAAGTCGCATCAGCAGCTGGTACAATCACACCGCAATAACATATACGGTCAATCGACTTGATGGGCCATTTAACAAATTAAGCATATATAAAAATGTAAGGAACATAAATTACATATTTGTATATATAGCAGTCTTTCTTAGTTTAAAAATTCATCTCTAACATAAATGAAAAAATTAGATCAAATTAAGCATATATGTACAACTTTTTCATGCCAAGTATGAATAAATTCCCCAAGGGGCTAAAAAAAAGGGCTAGGGGCAATTTTAAATTTATGTGGCAACAAAAAGGGCTAAAACGGCAACACTGATTGTTACATATTTATTTATTACACATCTTTAAAGTTGCGAGGCCAAGCCGTAAAGTAAACTATTTTGTTAACAATGAATTAGTCGATGACTTGATCTTAAACGTGTTGCAACGCATAATGGCTTCTGTAAAACTGGTAAGTTAAGAAACATATATAAGATCGCTAGTTATTTTTAAAAAAGTTCTGTTTTTATTTTTAAAAATCCTGAAAAAAGTTGCGGCTAACAATGATAAACTACAAATCTTTTGAATCAAATTTAGAAATTGTGTTTTCATAAATACTGATGACAGTGATATGAAAGGACTTACTATTTTTTAACCGACTTCGAAAATAGGAGGAGGTTATAAATTCGTCGGAATAGTTTTTTTTTATGTATGTTTCCGCATAAATTTAGATCACACATGTATCTATAATTTTTTTTATCGGAAAGGTAGTGGTGGTCACATACTAACTAAATTGGTTTAGATCTGATCATTGGATAATTTTGATATATACTTTTTTTTTGTATAATAAGAATTTATTTATTGAATCTGGCGGGTTATTAAAAATATTTAATATTAAAAAATATTTAATAAAGCACGTACGGTAGTTAGTGGATCCAGGTGCTTTATTTTCTGAATGTTAGGAACTATGGTGTTAATTAAATGTTTCTTTTTAAACCGAAGCGGATTTGTGGTAAGGCTACTGGGGGTATTGAAATATTTGACGGGTGGGCTCCTTCATTAGGTATAAAGAAGTGCCAAAGATGACAGGCGAAAGCGTTTGCTTTATCCTCATCATTCCTCGTCCAGCTTCTCGAAGAACCTGCCTCTTCGCATGCTTCAGTGTTCGCCAAAGGGAGTAGTCAGTCTGTTTCGAAGCAGACAAGGACTGAAGGATCGACTGCGTACTTCTTTCTTTTTCCGCCTACAACCAAATACGTAATTTCTTTGTACACGCATTCAGCTCCTGTTTAAGCTTAGATGAGCGAATTCTTTGCCACTCCCTTCTTACTTTGCCCTTCTTACTTATCAAATTAATTGTGGTGTGCAGGCCAGGCAGTAAGAACTACATTGTTTAATAGAAGGATTTGGTGTTGCAATTTCTGCGGCATTAACCATTAATCAGTGGGATTTTCAACTGCCTGTCGATATCATTCTTGTTCCGAATAAGAACTTGCGGGTCAATATGCGAACTGATATACTTTTTGTATTGTAACCACTTTGTGTGCTTATTTGTAAAATTTTTTCGTTTTATTCATAATTAAAAACATCGATAATGTTATGAGGCAGGGAGAATGATCTGGTGTCGCGCAATACCCTTTGTTACACGCAAATCAATAAGATAGGATATTTTATGTGATCAGACGGTAGATCAATTGCGACGTTAATCCGGATCAACGCTGCCGTCTGTTTATGCTTTCAGTGTTATTTCCATAGACGAAAGAGGTTACTACCAAATCCTCAGTGTGCTATTAATCAACACACAATCATGAACCGCCATCAGTTGATTTTATTAAAAAATTTAAAATCACAAATATAATAAAACCACAATGCGAAAAATTAAACGAAAAAGATCTGGAATAAGAGATATAAATATTTGAAGAAAGAATGTAGAAATGTTCCAGAACTTGCAAAACATGTTTCGTTTTCACAAAAATAAAGCGAACACTATTAAATTGAAGAAACAGTGGATTACCGCCATGTCCAAAAACCCCTGAGGAGCACTGAAAGAATTGTGATTTAAAATTAACACATTTTGAACGAATTCGGAATGTCTAAGTTGGCGTTTTCAAACCCTGAAAAAAAACTCAAACGTTTAACATGGAAAAGGTTACTCATACGCCATGTATATACGAGTGTGGCCATGTGCGAGTATGGCTTTCTTGTTTATTTATGCAATGATTTTATTCGTTAGTAGCTTGATCCTTTTGTAAAAGAACAGGCTTTAGATAACAAAAATCTATTATTTTTTAATTCTTCACTTTTAAAGTTTGATTTTTCTCATTCACAATACAAACCTTGAGAAAATTACCCGATCCAGAAAATGGCATACAGATCCGTAGGCTTTGACCCAATTTTTTCTGGCATTTCAAAGCTTGGCATTTTCCCTACAGTGTAATTGCTTTGAAGAAATTATTTGCTGACATAGCCTACGTAAGAGATGATAGTAAAAATAAGTAACTCACATATGGAGCCCTAACCGCCAAAAAGGTGTAAGCGACATTTTTTTCAAAATTTGTTTGATGTAGAAATGTTGCTAAAGCAATAAGATACATTTCTGCATAAAAAAAAATTGAAACAAATTTTACTTACATCTTTTCGGCGGTTAGGGCTCGATTTTTACATACTTGGTTTGCCGTAATGTGTATCATGAATCCTATGTAACTAACCAATTAGGTTTTACTAATATAAAACAATTAAAATTCAATAATTTCAGTTACTTGCTCTATCAATGTTCGCCACCTTTTCCATATCCGTAAATGCTGGTCCACTGGATTACATATATCCTGCCAATCCTGCCATCAAGTAAGTGATACAGTTGTCGAAGCATTAAAACATGTGTAACATAATATTTTGAATTCATGCAGATTGGAGGAGCCAAATGACAGCGAACGCGAGGAAATCGGTGTTGGCATGAATCCCGATACACCGGAAGAACAACTAGCTAAAATGGATATGCACACAATGCACGATGAGAAGTCCACTACAGAGAGAGTAACGATGTATACAGCGGACCAGGATGGCTATACGCCACGCTATATGTTTAAGAATCGTAAATTAGGCGAGAAACTTTTAATGTCTACGGTGGGTTAAACAAAGAAGTACAGAAAAAGTTGCTCTCCCAAAATTGTATAGATAAAGTGTCCATATTTGTAATTCTTGTAGTTTTTCCACAAATATGAAAATTGTATTCATTATAAATGTGATTACTTTTAAATAAAATAAGGCAGCATAAAATAAGTTTTGTCGGGAGGAGTGCAAAGAACTCTTAAAAAGCTTTAAGAAAGAAATTCGTAGCTCCAAGAAGCAATAGTGAAAGGACTTCTGCGGCACCATGGGAGAATACAAACGAAGTGGCAAGGTTAAGGTAGCTACTGTCCAACAACCGTCCACGGCAATGTTAATACGCAGAACCGATGATGAATGGACTGAAAGCTGCGAAGAATCGCTACAGGTCCTAGTCGATATGCAATTTCCTGGATGTGCAGACGTGACAGATATGGAATCTGGAAAAGAAAACGTGAATGACATCCCACACAACATTATTACGATAAGCCAGATTGAATGGGAAATAAACAGTTTTGATCCATTCAAGTCACCTGGAACTGATGGAATTTTTCCGGCCATGATTCAGATGGTTACTCACATGGTGAACCCATGGCTAGAGCCGATATACATGGGATGTCTGAGGCTGAACTAAGTATGTGCCTGTGTAGTAGAGAGATTCGAGAGTTGTGTTCATACCCAAGGCAGGTAAAGCCGACCCTCTATACCCGAAAGAATACAGACCCATCACTTTAGCTTCATTCCTAGACAAACACGTAAGAGGCAGCATAATGCAAGGCAGTTTATCAAAAGCATATAGAAAAGGAAGATCGACAGAGGCTGCATAGCATGCTCTAGTAACGAATATAGAAAACACGCTGGAACACAAGGATTATGCTTTAGGTGTGTTCTTACACAGCGGCGGAGCTTTTGATGATGTATCAAGAGAAGCTAGTCTAGGTAGTCTACAAGCAAAGAACGTAGAACCTGCCATTCTTCTATGGATTAAAAGCCTTTTAGGCTGTAGACGAATTAGATCAGAATGAGGTGAAGCCAGGCTAACAAAGTAAAGGGCACGCCACAGGGAGGGGTACTCTCACCGCTCCTATGGCTGCTTGTGGTAAATGACCTACTAAATAAATTTGAAGGGAGGGCTCCCAAACTAGTTGCATATGCTGATGGCATTGCAGTAATGGGGACCGGAAAATACCTAGATACCATAAATTATATAATGAATGAAGCGAAGGTGTAGGGATTAATGCAGAAAAAACGGACATTCTACTTCTTACAAGAAAATACAAGATTACTGCATGGAAGTTCCTTAAACTGAACGGCACTGAACTCAAAAACAAAAGACCACACCAAGTACCTTGGAGTAATCCTAGACTGCAAACTGCTGTGGAGGTACAATGTGGAGGACAGAGTGAAGAAAGCGAGTAATGCCCACTACGCATGCAAAACGATGCTAGGTGTTACTTGGGTTTTATCCCCTGTCCTAGTGCATTGATGCTACACAGCAGTAGTTAGGCCAATACTACTCTATGCCGCTTGGGGTGTGGTGGACCGCGGCAGAAAGGATCACGACAATGGAAATTGGAGCACTGAGAACAACTCCAACGGCTGCACTGGGAAAAATTCTCAATATAACACCTATCGACCTTGCGGCAAAGAGCCTTGCGGCTAAGTTCGCGGGGACACTGAATGCAACAGGGGAGTTCAAGCAAAAAAACTCTGCCACAGCTCAATAGCCAAAGAGCGTGTAGCCACAGCAGGCTACATAATAGCTTGCTGTAGGGGGTTTCGGGTTACTATCGAAGAAAATGGATGGCGTAGACGCATGAAGCCTAGG